CACTTTAATTGGCTCTTGGGCCACCAAATGCTTACTATTTCCAATTGGGCCTTTTTCTTCATATTGGGCTGCTTGTAGTGAAATCTAATAGCTACTTCCATGGCCCAAAAGAGCTGATTTCTTTCTCTCCAATAAGGCATCGACATTGGGCCGGTCTCAAAGCATAATTAGCACATCGTCTTCGACCGATTCTCACAATTTTTGACTCCAAAAATTAATTCAACCATATTTCCTGTCAAAGCTCAAATAAAACACCTCATCTAGCTTAATAAAAATAATTAAGTAATAAAAAATTATATAATAATAAATTAAATACATAATTAATTATATATCCAACTATGACGAAACGGACACAAAAATCACTCTAAAATGCACGTAAAAATAACGCATGTCAGGAGGACTTGATCACAGATGATGGCAAATCTTGGAACCAAGAGTTGTTTGAAGAATGTTTTACACAGAGGGATAAGGAAGCCATTTAAAAATACAAACTCTGGACCCACTGATGTATGATAAGTGGAAATGGCTATTGGACAGTAAAGGTCCATTTTCTGTTGCTAGTTCCTACCCAAATCTTGTGATGAACAAACTCAGAAATTTGGATTTGGCTGAGGGTAGTGAAACAACAAGCTGGGAAAAAGGGGTGAGGAAAAGGGTTTGGGCTCTAAACATCAAACTTAAACTCAAACACTTCATCTGGAAGTGCTATTCAAACTCCATGATAATAAGTCTAAATTTGAAGAAGAGAGGAATAGAGGTGGAAGCAAGGTGTTATGGGTGTGGTGAAGAGTTAAAATCAGTGAAACATTGTCTGTTGTAGTTGAGTGAAGAGAATCTGAAAGTTGGCCCTAGTCAGTTGGAATCAAATTGCAGGTAATGTTTCTTTTAAGCAATGGTGGTGGAATGTGTGTGCAGTAAACAGGAGATCCATAGCTGAGGATAGAATTGAGCTCACAACGTATATATTATGGTTGGCTATGGAAATCCAGGAACCTCTAGAAATTCAAAAATGAATGGATACATGATATAGTAGTAATCAAGTCTGCACAAAGGGATTGGGAAGAGTATAAAAGCAACAAAGGATCAAGAAGTTAATATAATTGAAGGAAGGAAGGCCATGTCCTATGGTTCAGTGACTCTCACTTCTTTCAAGCACCATTGTAGTTCTTCATTTGTGTGAGAGTTAATAGAATAAAAAAGTCTAGGTCGACATTTCCCATACGAACAAACGAAAGAATAATATAGGTCGTTAAAATTCAAATGGAATTGGGAGGGAGTAGTTGAGAGGTAGGCCGTATATATTGCATAGTTCGAGGAAAGGTCTACAAATAGGGAAGCGGACGCCTAAGTCAAATTGAACCTGAAGAAGGTGTAATAACCGTCGGGGGAGGGGGGAGGGGTTGGTTGAAGGAACCTCCTACACTAGAATTCACAACGGGCCTGAGATGGCCTCATCAAGGTCAGGCCAATTGAGTCGATTCGAGCGAGAGCGGGATGCCTTGGTTCGACGTCGAGGATTGGGTTCGCTAGAGTTGAACCAGTTTTCTCGGTCAAAGAATGAGGTGTAATTTACAAGGAAGGTGACAGAGCGTGTAGAGCCTTATGTTGGGAAAAAGGTGTTAGAGGTATGCTGTAAAAGCTTTGTTTTGCAGATTCTATCAATTCCATTTTGATCTGGCAATCATGTTTCGGTCAAAGTACATATATTTGCAGTTTATTTATTTATGCAATACATACTTCATGTCTTATATTGAGGTAGTGTGGTTCGAAGAGTTTCGAACAGAAAGATCACCTATCGGTTCCTTATAAGACTAAACTATTTGTTCACAGTCTAGACTGGCAGTGAGACCCCACTTGGAAAAAGACTGCAGTGTATTCTCGATTCAGTTGGTCTTTGACTGAAGGATTACACTAGCACTTATGTTAAGTGTTGAACAGGACCACTGAAGGATAAGGATATGAGACTCACTGACCGTTGTCGTAACCTAGACCTTTAGTGATTGATGCGTTCTCTTAAGCTGTAAGATAATATAAAATAGGCATATATTGTTATTTCTTATTTATTTGATTTACCAAGTGATTCCTATTTTAATAGGATGACATAAGTGGTATTTTGGTAAGTAAGAATAATTATATGATGTGCTATTACAAATTATTTACGGTCACTATGTTCCAGTGCG